CAATCACAGGTTAAGTTTTCTCCGCCTACCCGCGCGGGGGGGTCGATTCCCCCCTGACCGCCAAGTACAGGGCCGTCCACCCCAAAATATCCTTCAAATCGAGCACCCTAGGGTCTTGCAGCAGGAGCCGCACAATCCCATATCTCCCTGTATACCTGCCCACTGCGGCAATATGCAGGGCTGTGCGTTGCGCATTGTCCTGCGAATTGACGTCGACACCGTGGTCCATGAGTATCCGCACCATTCCTTCGTGATCGCAGTCTGCCGCGTTCGCTAGCGGCGTGCGGCCGTAGCGGTCCCTCGTTTCCGCGTTGACGCCGCATTCCAGAAGCGTCTGGACCACCGCTTCACTGCGCGTTTCTACGGCATGGTTGAGCAGGGTATTGCTGTTTTGGACGTTTCCGAGGATCCCTCTGTCCAGGAGATCTCGCACAACCCGCCTGTTTCTGCCCCCCGCCGCTGAAAAAAGAGCCTCTGTAGCGTAGCTCTTGGAACCCTTACGGCATACGCTGTCTATTAGCGGGAAGTAGAGAAGGACTGCGAGCCAGTGGTTTGCCTTTAGGAGAGAGCATAGGTCCGGCGGGTTCAGCTCGTTGGCGATTTCAAGGATGAGCTCGTTTGGCAAGTTGAGGAACGACATGTTGGCGAGGGGTTGAGGCTTGTGAGAGCGAGAGGTGAGTGTGAGGTTGATTAGCCAAGCCTGCAATGTGCGGTTCATAGCTGTTGGGTAAAGCTGTTGGGTAAAGGTTTGATAAAGGGTCACGTGCTCTTGAAAAAGGGAATTTTGTATAAAAGTTAACTTAGTTGTACTCCCATTAGTGGGCCGCTCGCCGGAAAGCCTAATCATCCTCGACATCGCTCTGGCCCATTCGGAAAAGAAAAGATGTTTATAGAAAATAGCCTTCTTTCGAGATTCGATCTTGTGCCCCCGGACACCCCTTGAGTGCTTTTTGTGTAATGCTGCTTCCGCCCCCCACATTCATTCACATCTCATCACTCGCGCTATGCTTTTTTATTTGTTGGATATATGAATCAATGTGATGGAGAGCATGGATAGAACGATTACCTCTCGCACTAGCACCTCTGGGGCACCAGGATTGGGGGATTGATAAATGTCATGTTGATGTATGATATTTAGTCGTGTCTGGCCACTATAAGAGTGGCAGCCTTGGGTATGTACACTGATGAGGAGATGAACAAGTCAATCAATACATTCTTCTCTTTGTTCCGAAAAAGCACTCTTTCGAATTTCCTTCCAATTGGTCTCAACTTGCCTACTGCCTTCGACATGTCATCCAAAAGTTACGACATATTTATTGGGGCCTCGAATCTGTACACTTCACGACATGGGAATTTGGGTTGTTGTTTTTTCCCCGGTGTGATATATTCTATTGATCCCGGGTTTCTTGGTGATGAGTAGCTATAGGGTTGGGGGGGGGGAGGGTTTACATCACCCGTCTAGTTCCTTGCACCATACATTGATTGGGCCCGTGTTCAATCAGATACTGTGTAAACCGTTCAGCGTCATCTACGGGAATGCCGTAGCATATACTGCTACAAATGGATTGCCTTAAACATCTCTTTACTATCCTCTATCCATGCGACTATAGGCGGTCGGATCCTGGGGGAAAGAAAACAAGCAATCCTGTGCTAACCCCAACTAGCCAACATCTGCTACCGGCTTGTTGGAAGATTGTAGGGACGGTCATGAATGATTTCGTATTTCTGTAGACTACCACGCAACAAAGGTCTCGGCCGGTTGAGTCGTCCCGCTCCACGATAGCGGGGGGTGTTGTGCCATACTATACGGGTGCTGTTAGTATTAATACAACCCTCCCATCTTCTCTCAGGATGGGAAAGTGGCCACCGCCTCCCTCTACTACTATGGACAGAACGAGGGAAAAAAAAGCAAAGGAGAAGGTCAAAAAAGCCTGGGCCGCGAGAGCACTACAATCCAGCCAGCCAGCCAGCTGTGTTGGCTAGATTTTTTTTTAAAAAAAAACAAAACTCCATTTCGTCTTCCCTATATTCTGCCACTCACTATACTGTATTTTGAATAGATATTGCATCCACGTCTCTTCCAATCTAGTATCTATGGTCACTACCATCCGCGCTACTAAACCGCTACTAAACCATTGACCCCTCCCCGCTCACTAGATTTCACCTTGAGCCGCCGAGTACCTCCTCTGGCGCAGGCAATTTACACAAACAATTGAAAAAGCCCGAACTTGACTTCCCCCCACCCCCTCCGACATAAACGCACGGGACTACCTTATCATGCCACGCCAGCATCAGTGGGATGTCTTGCGAGTGAGAGGTTGTGATAGCGCAATTATTACACCGTGCTCTACTCTTGCAATTGGAAAATACCGGTGGGCTGTTGGAGGAGCCGACCAAGCGAACTCTTCACACACCACCCGTAGTTCGCCGCTGGGGGCATTCCCTCCGCGCATCCGCGCATAGTGCCGCTGTAGGCCGACTTGACTGCCCAGCAACCCGTCCTTGTGAACTGCCTCTGCGTGTGTCACGTGTCCCCGGCATACATGAGACTACTAACGGCGGGATAGTGCTTGCCTATCCACTCCTCACGGTTCCCAAGTCCTTCCAAAGCTATGATTTCCAATGGCACAAGCTTATCTATCATCACACTCCGGGGAAACGTCGCCGGTTTAGATCATCCGAGTGTACGGGAGCCAGGGGAAAACTGGACGAGAACAGCATCGCATACTCCATCGCTCGACCGAACAGCGGCGGGGGAGGAGGGGTTGAGGGGGTGTCTGTAGCCCGCAATGAAAGGCGTGAAAGAGTTACTATTACAAAAAAAACCGAAATGTCCGAGTGAGATCCCATGACCATCCTATCACCCTAACTTACCGTATTCCGAGGCTTCCTACATAATATCATATTATCGTACCCTTCTCGGAAGTGTTTTTGCTGCCGTGTGATAGCCGGGCTGGCGCTGGTGTGTGCGTGTCCACTGCTTCCGAGTTCACGAGGGTTGTCTACTGTGTTTTCTATTTGCTTGTTTGGTTTTTTATCGCGTGCGCGATGGGTTCGGGTACGGGTATGATGGGTATTGTGGTGATGTGGATGTGATTAAATTAGATATTTACATCCCCTGATGGCTCCATGGGGTGCTCGGGTTCAGCCCGCGCTGCTCTGATGGGGTGGTATGGTGCTGTGATGTGGTGGTGGTTGTGGTTTTTTTTTTCCGTAGTTGTTGTACGCGGCGATGATGGAGCGGTGATGTGATATGGTTTGGATGGGTGGATGGGTGTGTAGGATACTATAGACTACCGGATTAAGTTACAACGTATTGTATGCTATCAGTACTCGTAGACTATGTCCTAGAAGTTCAATGAGCGCTGAGAACCTGTTTCGGGTTAAAATTTCTTCTTTTTCTTCCTGTGGACGAGATGGCACAATTCTTGGACAAAACAATGAAATAAAATTCCGCGGGCTTCACTGTCTAGATATTATACGAGTAGATTTTCAGTACAAAAAAACGCACAAATGCTCCCCACGCCCAACTCCTGAAACTAATGACGTGTATGACCCGGATGTGGAACCATTCTATAGGAAAAGGGAATTAAATTAAATCCATCCAGTACCCCTGTTCACTTTCCACCATCGTGGGAGACATGAGTAGCTGTCCGAGTCAAAGTTTTTGTTCCGACTGCACACGCATCGCCCGGAAGTGTGCGATTCGTCGTCCTGTGGACAGCGAGCACAAGGTGGATGTGAGTAGCCAAAGTCCGCGAAATGGTGAATTGAATCCTTGGGGGCAAATAATCCAACCCTAGAATTACCATGTTAGATAGATGGACGGATATTATGGTAGCAGGATAGGATAGGAACTGAGTGGGGGAAGGGGGAGGGGTTAGACAGACCCTATAGAGTGAACAGGAGCATCGCCCCATCGTTCGTAAAAGAATCCTCCTGTGCTATCCAAGAACTCAAAGTATCTGGAATAAGCTTCGCTGCGGTAAAATTCCAAGGAGGCAATCTCGAAGTTGCTCCAAAAATGGCAGAGATTGTAATCCCCATCTCCAAGATGGTTGTCACCGGGTCTTGACGGTTCAGCTCCGTCGACAAGGAAGTCCAGGGAGTTGTTTGCGTGGAGGAATTGACTATTTTCCGCCACAAATTGTCTCGTTCTGTCCCAAAGTGTCGTGATGGTATCCCTGAATTCGTACATGCTAATTACGAAGCCGTATATTTTCTTGTTCTCCCGCATGAAAGTGAATGGGTCACTACAAATAACTCATCAGCCGGGTTGTTCAATAGCGGGGAGTTTGCCGCTTGGGAGGTTGTGAGGATCCCCACTCACTAATTAATATCGCAGTAGAGCTCGATTCCAGGTTCAACACGCCAGTACCAATCATACTTCCTCATGACCTCTTGGTTGTAAAAGAATCCCGAGTTAAATCGGCACATGTGTCTGGGCGTCGCCAAATTATTAGCTGTGCTGTGCAGGGAAGGTAAAGGCTTGGTTTGAGACATACCGGTAAGATAAGGAACCGCCATAGATGATCTCCTGTTTTGCCATCCGCAACATTTCTGCTCTCATAATTGTCGTGTTTACATGGTCGGGAATGGACCAATCATCCTCCGGGATGACGGCGTATTCAACCGGGCCACTGGCGAGTCCGGAAGTGTACTTGATGAACTACCGTGATATCAGAAACCAGGCCAATCGGGATGAGCGAGCGAGAGCCTCCTCGGGTCAGAATTTCACTTACGTCGTCGGTGAATGGCTTGTCGTTAAGGAAAGTCCACGGATAGTGGAATCGTCTATTGAACCTATCCTCGACCATCCTGATAGAAGACAAGGCCCCGTGGAGCTCACTATTCCTTACGAGCATAACCAGGGTCGCCTTCTCGGTTCCATTATGCCCGAGCTCGGCGCCGAAACAGGTTGCGCTCGGGGGGCCATCCTCCAGTTCAGCTGTATCTGTCCCATGTTGAGGCTGACCCGTATGCCTCGGTGCTTGGACATTCATCTCCAGTCGTCTCCGCAGCTCGGTGCTGTAGACAACATTGTAAAGTACCACGCAGATTGACAGCAGAGCGAGGACGCGCAGGGATAGTCGACGAGTGAAAAATCGTGCAGAGATTCGGGAGCCCGTGTCCGCACGCTGCCAGAGGAGTTTTGGATCCATTCTTGCCGCGGGAGAGAGGAGAGCCAGAGCCTGCAAATTTCTTGGGCGGAGGGCGAGTGCGGGGACCTGTGTGAACTTATGGAATGGGGTCTAATTAGCGCATATTGTGCTGGGCGTCCGGGTGCCGGTATGTACTACCCTTACTCTGCTAACTTATCATAATACGGTACCGCGCGGAGAAGCTGTGATGGGATGGGCGCGGTGTTGTCTGGAATACAGAACTGTACTAGAGCGAGGCGGGCTGATATCTCTAGGTTTCGTTGGTGCGAACCTGGCTGTGTTGGAGATGTTTTATTATACTGGTGCTACTGTCTGACTCTTTCCTCCTTTTCCGAATGGATGGGTGGCTCTAAAGCCGGAAGCGGGCCATCTATATATAACCAAGAGGAAGAGAACAAGACAAGGCTTTTGGATTGTTTTTTCCTATGGCGCGCCCTTGGGATTATTGAGAAATGCCGGAACAGAAGCGCTCTACCACGCACGCAGGAGAAGGGGGGATGATTGTCCCTCGCTGTAATAGCTAGAAGGCCACGCCAGTTGACAGGGTGGTTTACAGTTACTAGGGTTGGAGAATGTATGCTCAAGTACCGTCGTACCAGTTACCGGTACTCGTATTTCTGTGGACTATCAAACGGGTCCTAGTTCTCATGCTCCTGCGCAGGCGGGGATGCCAAGTTGTCTCTGATAGGAATAATCCAACCCAGTCTTCTCCAGTTTAGAGGGTTCCGGATATTAAAAAAAAAACCCCAAATACCCCACGATGGTATCTCCGCGAGCTCTGCAATCTCCGGATCCTGAGACAGGAGCTCTTGAGAGGGAAAAGTTAATCAAAAATATATTTATCCCAGTTGCACCGATCCAGGATTAGCGTTTTCCTGACATGGAAATAAGATTGGCACACACTTGATGTGTTGGATCCCATTAACCGGCATTCGCGATTCTGGTAACCTATCAAACTAAACCTGTCGTCTATCAGACTAAACCTGTCGTGGCCTGATAAAAGTCAATTGTGGGGGGTTTTGCGGTCAGAGATGAGTTACCGTACTCGAGTATCCTAGAGGTTCCAGCCTCGAGTCGAGCATCATCATTACCGTATAGGATAAAATAGCTGCATCATGTGTAATTCCACCCTCCATCCCTCGGGTTTTTCCACAATCGAATGCAACACAACGACGCGCGTCTATGTTCCTATTCACCAGTCGCCCACAGACGGCGCTCTCCAGATCTACAAGTTTTCCCGCCTTACAGGTAATCCCTTGCCGTACTTCCGTGAACCAGCCAGCCAGCCTTCCAAAACACTGCGCTCCCCTTGTTTGTGTGCGTGTCACGGTGTTGTGCGGAGCCAAACCCAGTGCTCGAGTACTCGTACTGGTGTGCAAATTATGATACCGATATGGTGCTCGTAGCAGGCAAGAGATACGAGGCTGGTGACAAGAATGGTGAGCAGAGTGGCATGTATCTGAGTGCCAGTAGACTACCGTACTAGTACGAGTACAGTACCCGTACAGTGCCAATCACAAAACACCAAGATAGACTACTCCCGCGGCCGAGTTGAGGCCTGGACAGATACTCGAGCAAGGTGACAATTCCCACAGAAAGTGCGTCCAACATCAACTCGGCCGCAGGGGTACACGGCCTCCACCGGTTGGCTTGTATGAGAGGCGATGATCACTCGGATTTGATCAATGAGTAAATTAGCGAGTGTTGTACGGTATTTGGACGGGGTGTTGCATTTGGGTATTCCACCATTGGATTTAGGGAGGTTCTGCTACGACCCCCGTAATAAAAACTGTGCTTTTTTTTTTGTGGCGAATTATGACTGCTGCGATAACGTCAGAACACTACTCGTAGAAGCTTTGCTATTATAAGCACAGTAGAGTACAAAGCTTGGTGTGGGTTGAAAGTTCTTACTCCTAGCGTTGGTGCAAACTACCGGTACTGTACAGTACTGTACTCGTACTCGTACACCAATTTTTGGTAAACAAGTATGCACGAGTAAACACAACCCCTTTCCTTATTCAGTTGAGCCACTGTCGTTGCTGTGGTGATAAGGGCAGTTCAAGTTACGACGGTCGTACCAGAACCTCCCTATTGAAACTGCTCGAGCCGTGATACTTCACACTTTCAGTGCAATACATTCTGAAGCTGCAGAAGCATTGGAAAATTGGGAGTACGATCTAAAATTCATTCAAACATCTCCCCGAGTCGCCCACATATCGTTAGAGCGTTGTTGGCTGCTTTTGGCATGCAATATTGCAGAATCGAAGCTGAAAGCAGTGCCAAGCTTAGCCGTTTCCCGTCCAAAATCACCAGAAACTGTGCCAAGACCAATGTGCTAACCTCTCTTGACAATTCCTCAGCCAGTTTGGATGGTCTACAGAAGTTCTGAAGGGTTAGGAGGTAAAATCCAGGGAATTGTTTCACATATACTCGTAGATGAAGATCTGGTATGGATTGCTTCACCAGAGTGGCGAGTTTGTGTGGGCACTTGGATAGTGCAAGTAAACGCACGGATTTTTCGCCGCACGGGTACTATATATGGTACCGTATCTGGAGCACAGTACGTGTAGTTGAATAACGATAAGATGACATGCTAGCCTTCCCGGTGCTCTCTCCGAACAACATGAGAAAGGGAGGAAGGAATCAGGGAATTGGCCGTGGGGGACGAGAAGTATTGGTCATCTTTGCAAGGATCAGGGTATCCATCTTGGGCTTGTTGATATCAGAATAATCAGATCATACCCCCTAAAGAAACAGTTTCAGCTCCATAATTGCCCTGCCCTGCCTATCGGACGGGCGGGGCTTGGGAAAATAAAGAGCACCTATCCCCCTCCTTTGCCAAAAAAATTTTAATTCTCCCACTCTGAGGCTTCCGAAGGGTTGGTTTTTTTCTTTCCACGGCTGTCATATTATACCTCGGGGCAGTGGGGCGCCGGACAAACGTACTTCCGGGATTTAGTCACTCCCCTCACGGTACTTGGCCCACCGCATCAATTGCGCTTAGGCTCACAGGGTTTAGCCTAACTGCTACCGCGACAACAGCGATGTGTGGAAAAACCCCCATTGGCGTACGCATGACAAGAGCAAGGCACCGAGGTTTACGGTAACCGGTACGGGTTGACTGATAATTATCTTGAGGCTCGAATATTATTTGTCGCCGGCCAGGTTTAGCCCGGCGCTCGCCCAAGAGATCGGCGGACTACTCGTATGGGATGGCATTATGGCGGTCTGCCGGGTATTGCGGAAGGTCAGCCGCCTACAACTACCGTACCCTGTCCACAAGTAACCTATTTCTCCGGGGATCCTTAACCGAAATGAACTTTGTGAAGCTCCGAAAGGTGGCAGGTTTTTTTCTCTACCGTATCTCAGTATCTAGACTATTGTGCTCGAGTGCTCCCTGGGCGTAGCTGACCTTCCGCCGTACCCGGAAAGCCGCCATACCCGGCAATTCGCCGCTAGGTCATCGTGTCGTGGAAGTGCTCCATGGTGGGTCCATTATAGTAAACCTTATCGTCTAGAGACTAAAATTATATAATGGGCTGTATCGCTCATCCAAGCAACCGTCAAACAAGGTTTCTGACTATGATGCCACATCGCCTCAACTAGACTACTGTGTGTGCCATCATACTCATACGTGATGTCGAAGAGCTTTTAAAGAGGGCTGCCACAGGTTATCGCACACCACCAAAATTTGACGCTCTTGTCTGGATCCGAGCGGTATGCAATAGTACGAGTACTCGTACAGTACTTGTAGTTCTCTTTAAGAACGCCTCGGCACTACAAGTTCCGCTACCATTTTCTGGCAGAATCTCGATCACCTCGGGTGGTGTAAAATTATGAGGCTGAAAACCGGTTATCCTGGGTCCCCCCTTTTTTGGGCTGTGGCTAGAAGCTGATTATGCCGGTTCTTCCAGTGGCTGTGCTTGTGGTGCCCCGGGGGAGCCGTCCTCGGACGAGACAGGATGAGGCAGTGAACCAGCCAGCAAAATAATTTACCGGTAATCCCGGCCCTTTACGAAGGCATCTCCCCTGGCACATTGTACGGGAATCGTAGAGTGCACATCTCCAAAGAGTTGTTCGTGGCGCCGCCTACCCTCCCTTTCCTTGGTTTCACGGATCTGAGTTTCGATATGCGCCATTTTATCTTCAGCAATTTTTCTGGCCACGTGAATACAAATTATACAATACATAAGTCCTTTGGCTCCTTCTAATGACTAGCTTGGATAGACATCTATAATCTATGGCAGCAGACAGGCGGACAGCTAATTTGGCTCAATCGTTTCACGGAAAACTCTCATCACCAGTTCCTACCTTGGCTTGCCGAAAGCTCTGAAGAGGGGAGGAAAAGCATATAAGGCAAAACTCTGTAGCCCTCTCCAATAGCGGCCTTTCCATATCTCCCTGGCACTGAGCTTGGTAGTGGAGTGGCTTGATGAGAGGAATCGGAGCGATCGAGCACGGGCACCATAGGAGTCTATTTTGGGAGGATATGCTAAAACAGAGGGCAAAATCGCAGAGCTGTTAGGCGTGCTGTTTCCGGAAAGGAGTGCTTTCTGTGCAGGGGCGGCATTATGTTGGTCGCATGGGGAATTTCCAGAGAGGCTAGAAGGTTTTGTGGAGTAGACTACTGATACCGTGAGGTAGAGAGAGTTCTCGTAGGGCCTAAGTACTGATAATTTACAACCTGGCTACCAGCTACCTCGTGGACAGTCTTGTCCCTTGCTGATGTCACCTCGTTCGAAAAGCATCGAACCTACGCTTACGTGCGCCGATAATATTGGCACTGCAATCGTGGACGGAGAAGCTGGCACCAGCTCTCTGGACCCCCGCCCTGTACTCGTACATCACAGCAACCTGAGTGCAGCTGCGGTCACTATCTGGATCAAAGTTGGTTGTATTGCCACATCCGGGTTTTCTCGGAGCTCCAAAGAGCTTCGTTTGAGGTTTCGGTTGGATCGTTTCAACTCATCGATACTTCTCCTGCTCCTCTGCGATTCCAACCTACTTCCCAATTTTTCTTTCCGGTGCGTCCATTCCCGGAAACGGATCGTCACCTAGGGGCATCTCGGCAAACAGCTATGTATAGTTTGATACACGAGGTATTATTGTCGTTGGGTAAGGGAAACAGCCCTGTGGTATAGCCACTATGCGGTCGAGTGGTCTCCCTGGAGAGGATTGGGGCAGATCAGAGGGAAGGACGGGGGGATTGAGGTTATCACCTGAAGAAATGCTAGAGTATGCACACATCGTGGTGGGAGAGGAAAATATTTGCCAAACACCTGTTCGTCTCATGATTTTGCTATCACTTGACACTTGTCAGCTCTATAAGCTTTTTTCTGCACGGTACGCGTACGGTGCACTGTTCGTTGGTCTCTTAGAGATCGTAAATTCAGGGAGGGTACTACATAGTAGCGAACATATAGAGTACTCAGAAGGAATGAAAAACCGAGTCCATGAATACTAATACCAAGTATCATATCTGATACAGAGCCTTCCATATTATGGGTCTGCATCGACCCGATTCTATTCGCTGAAACCCTATCTAATCATTGCATCAACACCCTGACGTTGGTATCATACAATCTAACAAGGCTTACGCGGCACATGTATGAGATGCTGTATCAAGTGATTCAATTAACTCCATGTCACAAAGATGCTTCGATGCTCTGATGCAGCACGCGACAGTCCTCAGTGCAAAATACTATGGATAGCTCAGGCCGATTCATAAGACTCATATTTTTCACCGCAGTACTTGACACTCTTCCTCCCCTCATTTACTTCATAGAGGATCACTCGCATTTAGGGTTCCACGCACATGCATGGGAGCTCTCTAGGGGCTATAGGGGTTGGACTGTCGCTCTGATCGGTTTGTGAGAAATTTCAATGTTTGAGTTAGCCCCCCACCACGAGGAACCGGCCTCTAGTATTCAATTATGTATACAGGGGATGGGGATCTTTTGATCATTCTGTTCACCGCGGCGCTCAATGGATATACTTGAAGACCACCGCACTCGAGTGCTGCAAGGGTAGAAGGGCAAGGTGAAAAGAATACTGCTTCGTGCTGCGTTGTCCTGGACGCGTGGCCATCCGATGATCTCGTGAATCCGCCACATCCCTGATATTCGCCTCCGGGAAGCTGCTCCCGCCCGGAACTTGCGAGTGGGGTATCTGTAAAACTGGGAGCTCAGGATGAGGGTTAAGGGGACTGTGTTCAATGAACAGACATGCGGTGGATACTCGGAAAAGGTGGCCTCCCCAGATGGTGTTTCACGGTATAGCATTTCTTGTGCATTTATATTCTCTTGGTTTTCGTCTCGGGGGTGTGGAGAGTTTGGGATCCACCGGGTAGTATCGTAGTTGAGGTTAAGTGGCCCCGTTTTGAGAACCGGGGTCTAGTTTTCGAGCGATTCCAAGTGAGTGTTAAACGTTAGGACTCGATCCGATGTTGACGGTGGTTAAATAGAGTTGGGGAGTTATCATATGATATATACTCTACTAGCATAATTGGTTTCAGTGTTTCAGCAATATCGTAGTCGACTCGGAACAAACAAGCTGTCCACTACTCCAGGACTGCGTCCTATTAATTCTCCACTACCTCCCGAATCCTGATTTTTTTCCTTTCTCGAAGCAAGCGTACTAGCCACTGAAACACTAGTCTCACCATATCTCCTTTCCATCATACCTCGTCGGTCACTGACTCGACCGAGTTCCTGGAGAAAAAAAGAATTTGAAGCAAATGGGATAACTTACGAGCGAGGTGCGGATTGAGATTTTCTGCTAGCACACGGCTGTGCGGTTATGTTCCTTAGCTCCAATAGAAACAAACTTTTCTGAAATTTCCATTAATGATAATCGGACATGTTTGATTCAGGATTTTGGGAACACTACTCGTGTGGTCGAGAGGGAAGAGGGCAGCGATGGACAGGAGGAATTGACTGGTCCAGCAGCTCTCGCTTTCAGATATTTTTGCCCAGCGTGGATTGCTGGCGGCCTTGGGTAAGCGCTCTGGTGCCTTTTCGCCATACGAAGAACTCTGTCGTCGGGACCTCTACTGCCGTTTTGTCCCCCAGAAATTTCCGATTTTGGTTCAAAGATGGTTTCGACGGTTGGATCAAGACATGGCGGAATCAGTTAAAACGAACAGTAAGCATGGGATGGATATCAATTAGATTTGTAGTATTGGACAGAACCAATGAATTAAGAGCTAGAAAAAAAAAATATGGTTTACTCGTAGATTGGATGGTTGCCGCCGATACAACTTATGGCCAGTACGTGCATCGAGTCAAAGTATTTCCACGGCCTAGAAGTCATGAGCTGAATAATGTTTCGCAAGATGCCGCACCGGGTCGGAGTGGAACTGGCCTGGCCCGGTTTTCCAAAATAAAGCCCGTAGGTTTCGTGGATGCCGAACGGCACTGGCAGGCTTTCTGCGTATCCCATGTGGTCAGCGAATTTTTCGAGAATGGTAAACAGATTACTCTATCTTCTGATGCCTTCGAATATCCTCCAATACCCACAGACGCCCACGGGTAGTTGCGAATATCTACCAATACGACCAAATCTCTGAAGATAGCTTCTGAGACTGGTTCAGGCATGGGAATCTCGTAATGAGGAATTAACAACATTCCACCGCATCCAAAGAATCGAGAGTGAGATGCTGAGTAACTCCCTATCACTCGGTATACCCCTAACTTGTGGATCAGTTACTCGCACGCTGACTCAACAGTTGTATATCATTCAAACCTCAAACTCCTAACACTTTTTCTTATAGCCTCTCCAAGGAATCTCCAACTATTTCTCACTTTTTTCGTGATCCTAGTCGCGGGGCTGGGCGTGGCTGTCCGGACGAGAATCTGAACATACTGTGCACTCCTGATGCGCACCTATTTCCGCACCAAGCGGTATTTTTCACCCGGACGACTACAAGCAATAGCGGTGAAGATGGTGTATCACGCCATTACAGCCATTGCAGGCGTGAAACGCGCTGACGCATACTCTCGTGTTCCGTTCGGTCCATGTCAATGCAAACATGTCCTGAAAACTCCCTGGGATAAGCTCAATCATGCATGATCACTCGGGGCTCAGTAGATATTGCTTGTTGTTCGTATAAGAATATTTCTTTATACCATCAAAGGCTTCATTCAGGGACTGGCTGTTTTTTTCGTTCTTCCTGTTCCCTTTATCGCATTTATTCTCCCTGTTCCTCTGGCATGATTATTGATCCGTAGTTGTTTCCCGTTTCTGGTGAAAGGCGTCATGTCTGAATGTCCTTTCGATAGAGCTATGCTGTATCTTTTCACGTGATTCGGATAACTTGGTCATTGACGAGAAAGCTATCGTACCTTTCTATTAGTACCTTCTCTCGCGAGAGGTATCGCGTATTGCTGCCGCACTGTTTGCTTGCTTCTTTGGTAACTGCTGATGTGACGGCTACTCCATATAAATCTACATGCTATGTCGGACATGATTGCCGGACACAATTCCCTGGATGCCAAAACTGGTAATGGGGGTTAGATAATTCGAGTGATAATTTGTGTCAAAAAGAACAATAATATTCAGATAACAAATATCTCTATATTTGGTTGGACAAATTACTTGACAAAGTGCTTTAATTCCTTAAAGGGTATACTCCTATTCCCTTGCATCCTCTAAGTACCTACTTCCAACTGACCTATACTCATGTCATGGAGGTCTACCTTAATTTCTAGTAGTTTACAACTCTTTAGAAGCTGTTTCAAGATTCTGGAAATACAAAACAGTGTTTGACTCTCAGTATTACAAAACTGTTAATATTAATTGTATGATATTATTGTAGTAGGAAGAATTCTATATCCTCTATCCCTCTCAACTATGCAGCTATGAATTGACTATTTATATTACATAATTCAAGTTAACAAAATAGCTATCTACTATGTTACCTAAATGTCTATCAAGTACTAGCTAGCATACCAAGAGGGAAGGGCTCTTATAATAGATACTGAAGAGAGTAGGACTATGATAGTGATGTAGATACTTATAAGAATGATCATAAAGTATAAGGAGAGTTAATTATAAAGTAATAGATAGGCATATGTAACAGGGACTCCCTCTGGGAAGATGGATCCCAAGGTTGCGACCACACCGAAATGAATTCTTCTGCAAAGTGAACAAATATAATAAATGTCAAAGTCTCAACAGTAGAGTTTGAAGAAACAAAACGGTAAAACTTAATATCATTATGCCACAGCTTTTACTCAATTAAGTCCTGATCTCGAGAGGTAGTTGATTGCCAGAGTAGAGGAGAACTCGCATATACTTAAGTAGATTTCATATACTGCCAGTTGCTCTCCATCACTACTCTGTATTCGCGAGCACCCAACTCCCTTGTGCTGCCTAGCTAACCTCTATGGGTTGGACCAAAGATCCCCCGTAGCGAACTAGACTACTCTTGTGGTTTTCTAACATCCACCCGATAGAAGTATTTTAGCTGCTGCATCTACAATGCAACTGCAGGAGTAAAAACTCTTCATATCGCGGACATGTCAGTGGTGAGCTGTCATGCCCGAGTAGATGCAATACCAATTATAGAACTCTCTACCTGTATACACTTAGTCTTCTACAAGCATCCGCAGCCCCTGAACATCTATCCGGTTCTACTCTATTCTATATCATTCCAGATGATGGCCATGTAGCTCTCCTGATAGACCCCTTTGGATGTTGACTACCAATAGGCGCCACACACAGTCAACCCTCCTGGAAACAGGTCTTATCGTGACCTTAGACTAGTGTCTCAGAGTCCCTAATGATTCTCCAATACTATTACACTTTTGGGGCAACAGACTTCGGTTACCTCAACTACTAGCCTTCGGTAACCTCACATACTACCTTAGACTTCAAAGTAGTATTACTCTGTCAGTTATAGTCTGTTTTACATGAAACCACCTGGAGACTATTCTCCAGGTTTACCTCTACTCCCTTATATATCCTGCGGACAGCTTCCGGTCGGATGGACGGTGGGAATGTATACGGTGTTACAGGAGTATCTCAACCTGAAGATATTTACTAGGCTTACAGCAACTCTCCAGGCTGTAGTCTATGACTCCAGGGACTTATAACGGGACCGGAGGAGGGTGTTAGCCACCACATCTCTAAGTTACAGCTTGTTTGGAGCTCAACTGGTTGTGCGAAAGTGATCTGCACAACCTGAGATTTGAACATCCTATGTAGTTTCGTGTGACAAACAATCTAGTAAGTTCTCCGAAGTCCTGCATAATAAGTTACTTTCAAGGTAGGATAACTTGGCTCCATAACAGGGTAACCCATAGCCCAAGGCAGGGTAACTTTAGCCCAAAGGTAGGGTAACTCTACCCGGACTCACCATTGAGTAATTCAGGGTAACTCCCAAATTGACTACTTAGGTTACCCTACTAAGTAGGGTAACTACTGCTCCTTACTAGTACCTGTATACTTCTTAGTATAGTATAGTATGTCCAACCGAGGTACCTAACCAACAGTACC